TGGGGGGCCGCCTTTCATAACACCCAAGGACACCTTACAGGGGCATAGGGGCAATATAGGGAACAATTTAAACAGTGGATTTTGTGATATATCAGCCGGGGTGAGACAAGACAAACCACAAATGGTCCTGGACTACAGAAGGACACAAAAGGACACATGGTACAGTTTATATTATTCTTGGTCTTTTTTCAATAACATATTTCAAAGGTTCTGGATTTGTTTACAAATCTAGAAACTAAATACAAAACTAGGATGATATGAAGATATCATGTCAAAAATAATTGTGATAAATTAGACAGAACTGGCCTGTCTGTGAGCACATTTTATGTTGGTTTGGTTCTTCTGATAAAGGTGTGAATATCTAAATAATATACCAACATATGCTATTGTCATTAGTTGTGTCCCTGTTCTTCAAGCTAATGCATTGCTAAATTAACAACTCTTGGCTTACAGAGTGGTAAAATGAGACCGATTTTTATATATAAAATATAAATATATTTTAATTTTATAATTTAGTTATCATTTATTTTAAATATTAACAATATAGTAAAATAAATGGAAATATATACACCGGCAAATATTTAATATAAATACCTTGTATGTGTGTGTGTGTATAGCTATTGCTTTATCTGATTAATGTTATTTTCATATGAAAGTCCATGATTATAAGTATGCAGTATCATAACTACATCTTTGATGTTTATAAAAAACCAAACCGTTTGAAAATTGGTTGAAAATTGAGCAAGCTATGGTTATTTAAATAGTAAACCATAATGTTATGAATGAGAGCACTGCCTGTAGCAAGTGGCAACGTCGGTCTCCATTGGCCAGCAGCGCGGGTGAGTCATCTAGTGTTTATATATATCTATGATGGTCAGTACCAGATATGTTCGGGTGTATTTCCGTCGCATCCGTCATCCGTCATATACTCACCTCCCTCTGCTCCCTGCGCTCTGCTGCCACACACCGGCCGTCTGTGGAACTGCAGCCGGAGGAACTCGGGACAGCTTGTTATGTGTGGGGTGCTATGGTGGGGTCCCATGTACTTGTGCACATAAATAATGTTTCTAATTATTTACAATTTAAAAAAAATATATATTCTGCGTTACTTTAGCCAACACTTTTATAAGGCCACTAGATTAGATAATTACGAAATATGTAGATAGAATACATATATTTCAGGTTGTTATTTTGTCATTATGTTTAATGTTTTATTTACCTTTTAGTATTTTTATATACTATCTGAACTTTGGAGAGGAGTTGGGAGACACACGACACATCAAATCACATCTACAGATCAAGGCGAAGCGAATGGAAGTACTCCCATACTTTATATACTAGCGTGAAAACGTGTGCAAAGTCTCCGAAAATCCTAAAAATAAGCTCATATTTGAATTCCCCATAAAAAAACACATCATTCAGTAAAAACAAGGCCCCACTGATCATCTACTCTCTGAGACGATTCCAGGGATGTCTGGCTTGAGTTTCGACCACCAGGGAAAGTGGACAAAAGTGCCCGAGATCAGCCTTTTAATTTACCCAGGTGCTTGGTTTTGGGCATGAAAATTCAGGAAACTCCCTGAGTATTTTATTAAATATCTGAACTTTGGAGAGGAGTTGGGGGACATACGACACATCAAATCACATCTACAGATCAAGACGAAGCTAGTGGAAGTACTCCTAGCGTGTGAAAATGTTTGTGAAAAACGTGTGCAAAGTCTCCGAAAACGGAGCAGTGGCTGTGATGCTAGCTTTGCGGCCAGCGGTTAGTTGTTATTGTTTGAAGTTGTTGCTATGGAAACAACATGACGGAGAAAAAATTAATATCTTCTACATATAATAACGGACAAAGTAAAGAATGAAGTGTAGGCTATGCCTGTTTGAAGTTGTTGCTAAGGAAACAACATGACGGAGAAAAAGTATAATCTTCTACATATAATAAAGGACAAAGTAAAGAATGAAGTGTCGGCTATGTTAAATGTTCGGAATTTGACCGTGATGGCCCTCTTGAGTTGCCGTAAAATATGACGAATATGACGGAAGACGGATGCGACGGAAATACACCCTAACATATCTGGTAGCCCGAACATATCTGGTACTGACACCGGTCTCAAGTCAGAACCGCTGCAGACTCGCTGTTTGAGAGCTTGATAGCCCACTCCTCCTCCACACTCGTTGCTTTGGAACAGCCCTCAATATGGCGGACCCTCCGCGTGAACGCGCAAACGGAGGGGTAGGGTGTAGGGGGCGGTTTTGGAATGGGCCCTAGTGTTGTCTACGACTTCAGTGCTTCTCAAAGTGTGGTCCACGGACCACTGGTGGTCCGTGAGCGCCCCCTAGTGGTCCGTGAGTATAATGGTAAAATGTCACATTTGAAATAAATAAATACATTTAAGTTTTCCGCACTCTCGCGGGAATATCTCCGCAATGGAGCGAGTTTAAGTTTAACTTTCGATTGCATGATATAGCCCAGATAAACACCTTCATCAAACATGTTGCCACTTGTTTGTACCATTTTCAGGTGATTTGTAGAAAACGATGTGTTTTTGGATATTTGTGGAGTTCGGTGGTCTGCGAGTGTTTTTGTATTGGTTAAGTGGTCCTTGGTATGAAAAAGTTTGAGAAACACTGGTCTACGTTATATCTGTTATCTTTGTAAAACACCGGTCAATATCTGTGAGCTGTTTTGGACGGTACAACCAGGGCGAAAGTTAACATTACTGCCGTTCCTGGGACTGGGATCACTCAATCCGCTTGGACTGCGGAGCCTGTGCTCACTTCCCGGAGCTGAAACGCCACCTGTGTTGCACTTGATTTTGGACTTTGGTGGACTGGGTTCGTTGAGCTAAAGCATAGCATGACTGGGCTTGTGTTCCTGTTTACATGAGACGTCAAACAACGTAATCTTCGTTTTCGGGAGGACTGGAAGTCCGGACCGGATTCTCACCTCGCTGATCTGGCATTTCTCAACTTCGGCAGGACGGAAAACGCGGACGGGTTTCCTGTGCTGATTTCTGGATTTCTTCAGCAGGCCCTCTCTACCTCCTGACACATGTCACCCAGCATGTTTATCCTAATACCTATTTTTCTCCTACTGACTATTCTCCATCCATATGAGGTGCGTGAAGGGTATGAAGACCAACATGTGCCTCATCTTGTCTTCCCTAGTAAAGACACAAACTGGGATTCTACTTTGTTTAAGAGCTGTGTAAATTGGAGCATTCTAATCTCCAAGGATCTCATGACTCTACCTTGTCTTATTCGTCTTTTTAGTCCTTATAACTGGTTGTTTTCAATGAACTCATATTCCTATGGTGGAAATAGAGCAATAGGCCTATATAATGAATCTATGCAAACAACAACTTTGGTGAAAAGGAAATGTGTCTTTGTTATCCTGCTCCTATCAGGAAATGTTCATCCAAACCCTGGACCAGATTTTAATTGTCTGAGTACCCCTGATGATTTTAAAGCAAGGTCGGGTCTTGGTATCATCCACATAAATGTCAGAAGTCTACTTCCTAAAATGGATCACATGAAAATCTGGGCAAAATCCTCTGATTCTGATGTTCTTGTTTTATCTGAAACTTAGCTAAAGAAATCTATCACGGACAAAGACATTGCAATTAAGGGTTACAATGTGTTTCGTTGTGACCGACCCAGAAAAGGTGGTGGTGTCGCAATGTATGTAAAAACAAAATGTCATCCTACCATCCAATCATCTGTGTCTCTCAGCAGACAATTTGAACTTGCGTTGAAATTGGAACTTCTTAAGGGTCAGTTTATCACTGTTGTAGGGTGCTATAGACCCCCTTCAGCAAGCATTGAGGCTTTATCATCACTGAGTCATCAGTTATCTTGCTTGGATTTTAATGAGATTTTAATTGCTGGAGACTTTAATTGGGACTGGTTGTCCTCTGTCTCCGATAGTTTTAAATCAACCTGTGACTCTTTTAATCTTACGCAATTTATCAATAGCCTCAACTCGTCCTAATCTTAAACACCAAGATAAATCGTCTCTATCGATTTATAATCTGGATTCGCACAAATCGGCAGGACAAACTTCCTCCTCATTTTCTTAAATTAGCAGCAGACTTTATAGCTGAGCCGCTTACTTACCTTTTTAATTTAACTCTTTCCAACAATGAGATTCCTAACATATGGAAATCTGCATATGTTCTTACTTTACTGAAAGGAGGGGATCCCTCATCTGTTAATAATTATAGGCCAATTTCAAAAGTATGTGTTGTAGCGAAGGTCCTTGAAAAGCTTCTCAGCGAACAACTTAAATTATTCTTGGACACAAATGATATTTTGTCAGAGCACCAATCCGGTTTTAGAAAACAACACAGCACAACAACTGCTGCTCTTAAAGTGGTGAACAACATAATTGAGGCATTGGACTGTAAAAAGTGCAATACAATATTTCACCTTCACCAATGAATAATAGTGTTAAATAACACAATATCAATGAAAATAATCGTGTTTATCATTTTGGCCAGATCTGTGCATGACTTTTAAAGCTTCTGATTGTCGAAATTTTG